TGTCAATGGAAGAATATCCTCCTCTGCCGTCCTGTAACAACAATCCAAGTTCTGCGGTTGATAATTCACACACGATGACAACCAAGCAAGATGTAACTGTAGCTGTGACTTCACCCTGCAAATCCAACACCCTCTCCTCTCAACCTACAAAGGCAGTCGGTACTTCATCATCAACAGCCCCTCAACAACCTTCTGTGTCACTGTGTACCGAAAGTGTCAATGAAAGTGAAACCAGTGCTAGTGTTTTAGGAAATGTAAATTCTCATTTTTTAGGAGATACTCTAATAGGGGATCCTCCACTGCATTAGGCCCTGTCACAAATAATCCCAGATGTAGCTCCAATAAATTTAATTTAAATTTAATTCATGTAAATGTACAATCTTTAAGGAATAAGTTAAGTGAATTGGCTTTAGTATTAGAGGAATCCCATTGCAATATTGCATTATTGAATGAACATTGGCTTCTTAGAGATGAAATTAGGCTGTACATTCCCCAAGGTTATACTCTTGCAGATTCCTTTTGCAGAGAGGATGATCCCCATGGAGGCTCTTCAATAATTTTAAGTACAAATATTTCATATGATAGGATAGATATTTCACACCTTGTTCACACTGGCTCATTAGAAGCATCATGTACTTACATTAAGGATTTCAATTTAACTTTGATATCTCTGTACAGAACCCCCGATTCTGATTGTAATTTATTTTTTAATCAATTAGAGAGCCTTTTAACATTTGTTTTACAAAAAAAACCATCTTGTAAATTAATTTTAGGAGCAGATTTTAATGTTGATTTTTTAAAGAATGATAATCCCACAAAAATGCTTGTCAATGTCTTAAAATCGTTCAATTTATATTATATCTTTAAATACCCAACCAAAGGGAACAAATGTATTGACAATATTGCAACTAACATTGAGCCAAACTTATTTCAGTGTAAAGTTTTGAAAGAACAAATATCTGATCACCCTATTTTACATTTTGCATTTTCAAGTAGTTTATATGTGCCTGATATAGTCAAAGAAGTTTCTTTTAGATTGTTAACAAAAGAAAGGATTAATATGTTTTTGTATAGTTTAAGTGTCATCAATTGGGAGTCGGTTTTTCAGATTGCTGATGTTAATGTTGCTTTTAAATGTTTCATTGACTGTATTCAGAATTGTTACAATTATCACTGTCCTAGACTATCTAAGAGAGTAAGAAAGGACTACAAAGTTAGTACAAAAAATAACCTGTGGTTTGATGAGTCACTTAAGAAAATGAAGGATACTCTGTTACTCCTCAAGGATTTGACTAAAATACCAGCTTATCAAAACAATGACATCCTAAAAAAATGTCTATCATCTTACAAAAACAAATATAAAACTAGAATTAAAACCGCTAAGATAGAATATAATGAGGAATTTATTAATAGTTCACAAAACAAATGTAAGGCTGCATGGAAAGTTGTTAAGTCAGAAAGTGGTTTATTTTTTAAAAGTGAAAAGTCGGATCCACCAATTACAGCTGACGAATTTAATGACTATTACATTGATGTAGGAAAACAAATTTTAGACAAGTTCTCTAATGGAGGGGGAAGTGGGTTACATTTTTACGACTTTTTAGATAAGGAAAATGTTTCTAATACCAATTTTTCCTGGAATCCGGTAACATCAATTGAAATTTTAAAAGTTATAAGATCACTTAGTTCCTCTAACTCTGAAGATTTTTATGGCTTTTCTAACAAAATTCTCAAATACATAGCTCCATACATTCTAGAACCCTTAACTTATTTAGTTAATATTGCCTTATTAAATTCCACATTTCCAAGTTGTCTGAAAATATGCAAAACAGTGCCAATTTTCAAGAAAGGAGATATATCTTCTGTTTCCAATTATCGTCCCATTTCAATGGTTCCAGTTTTTTCAAAAATAATTGAAAATTGTGTTAAAATACAGCTTTTTGATTTTTTAACAAATAATAAAATTCTGAATAGCAATCAATTTGGCTTTCGACCCGGGTACTCCACAACTTTAGCTGTTGAATCCATAGTGTCAGATATTCTGGATACATTTGAATCTGGCAACTATCTGAGTCTGGCTCTTGTGGATCTCAGCAGGGCCTTTGACTCAGTTCTGCACACCATACTTTTGCAGAAATTGGATTTTTATGGTATAAAAAACCAGGAACTAAATTTTTTTAAAACCTACCTTTGTGGCAGAAAACAATATGTAGCTTCCGGCAAACAAACATCAGCTTTTAAAGAGGTTCTTGCTGGGGTGCCGCAGGGGTCAGTACTTGGGCCAGTATTGTTTATATTATATATTAATGATTTGCCAAATGCTATGCCTTGTAAAACAGTTCTATATGCAGACGACACATCGTTTATTTGGCCTTCTGACAATCTTAACACAGCAATCCATGGAATTGATAACATGATCGATATTGGTAATAATTGGTTTAAGAGTAATTTTCTTGAAATTAATAGTGATAAGACAGAGAAAATATGTTTTACACTACGTAGAAACCAAATTGAAAATCCAGATTTTGTTAAATTGCTAGGTATTTTCTTAGATAAAAAATTAACTTGGGAAGAACATACCAACAATGTAATATCTAAGTTGTCACGAGTTTGCTTTTTATTGCGAAAACTAAAAAACTGTGTATCAAATCACACACTTCTTTCTGTTTACCATAGTCTATTTCATACGCACTTATTATATGGAAATATTCTCTGGGGAAATAGCTGTGGGGCCAGCAGGGTGTTTACTTGGCAAAGAAAAGCCCTGAGGATCATGTTTGATATACCAAATAAAGTCAACTGCAAACCTTTCTTTATAAATAATAATATAATGACACTTTCAAGTATTTATATTTTTAATAATTTAGTCTTTGTTAAACAAAACATTACAAATTTTACTAAATGCCACTCAACTAGACAATCAAACAACCTGTACATCCCACCAGTTAGACTTTCAAAATTCACAAAAAGCCATAAATATTTACAATTACAACTTTTTAATAAACTTCCCATTCCATTTAGAGAAATTGATAACATAAACCTTTTCAAATCAACATTATCAAGATGGCTAATTAGCAAAGCCTTTTTTTCTATAGACAATTTTTTAAACACAAATAATTACTCTGAACTCTTAACACTATTGGCCACTAGGAGGCAGCCTGCATGACCAAAAATCTTTTTATAAATTTCCTGAATATTTACAAATTGTTTAGTTTTGAAGCATTATTTACTTAAGTTTTGTATAAATTTGTGTAAAGCATTCAATCTTAGAATTTTAAATTTAAATATTTAGGCCTGTATGTACAGTTTATGCAACAAAATGTTCAATGTTTCATAGGATGATGTATAGATTTAAGCATGATGTCACATTTGTGTCCTGACTTCTGACGTTGTCTATTGTAATTTTATGTTGCTGAATGACAATAAAGATTATTATTATTATTATTAACTTGTAAAATACATTTTCAACCTTGACCAAACACACAACAAAATTACAACATAAATGTCCATGATATATAACGGCAAAATATTACCCAACATTTATTTATTTTAGCAATTAAAGAGTTTAATTGCCATATTAAATTAGAACTATCAATGCTAGCGCAGGCGGCCGCTCGGTGCGGCGCTCGCGACGATGTACGGGGCAAAAATATACCGTGACACACTATCGTACATCACCCCGATCTTTTCTTTGATCTTTCGCCAAAAAACCGCCTCCAGAGCACTCGTCTCCCTGCTCGGCTTGATGTCTGGTTCGCCGTCTGGATCGGTGTACGGACCCGTGACACACTATCGAACATGCTCCCTTCGACCTCCCTTCTCCCTGCTCGGTTCGGGGTCTTGTTTGGGGAAAATATCGATAGTGTGTCACCGTCTTTAGGCGGGATAAACTTGAATGAGTTCGCGATCCAGCATGATCGGACCATGGGAACAGGGTTTTATGGGGTAAAAATTGGTTTTTCTAATTTTTGACCCTCAAAACATAAAATTTCCCAATTTTTCTCTAAACATTCTTAAAGAGCTTAAAAAAACTAAACAATTCAGTATATCAAAGTGTTTTCATACGGATATTAGTTACGGAGAAAACTAACAAAATTGTAAATTTAAAATTCCCATGTTATTCTTATGGAGAATATTGTAAAATGTTGTAGTTTGCGTGTTTACGGATATATTTTTATCAAACTTGGCAAATATACTGATTTTGTACTAAGCTATAATTATTTTATTAAAAACACACTTCCTTGTAGCAGCAAACCTATGTACTCGTTACACCTAATATCAATTGAAAATCGTTGAAAATCAATATCAATTGAAAATCAATTGAAATTGTACTCGTTTAAATAGATCAATCGAAAATCAATTCAGCCAAATGGAAATTAGCTTGGACAGCAGGTTTGCTGCGGTGGGGGTATTGTTATACTTGGAACTGATTTTTCAGTGTTCTGGACTAAAATTATTGAGATATTTAGATATAATATGTGTCCATGAACTCATTAACTCAAGTAATTTTGGTCCGATTTTGATAAAATTTGGCTTGAGGGTGTAAGGCGGGGTAAACTTGTATAAGTTCATGAACTAGCATGATTGTGATCGCTTCACATGGGAACGGGGTTTTACGGGGTAAAAAATAGTTTTTCTCATTTCATTTTTTCTTAATAGGATATCTCCTTGGGAAGATGTATAATTAATGATATTACCTATTACAGTAGACTCCCTCCTATCTTGACTCCTCGGGACAGAGGCCAGTCCAGATAATGGGTTTTCCGGTTAAACCGACGTCACCAAAAAACTTACGGACCGTTCAAATGCGTCTTTGACTTAAATTTATGAGAGCATTAAAGAGCATAAAGAGATGTAATTTCCGGTGAGTGTAGTCCGGTTAAACCGATGTCCGGTTAAAAGGTGTCCGGATAAGAGGGAGTCTGCTGTATCCGTAATTGTAGACTAGTGATCAAGATTTAACAAAATAGATTTTTAATTGAACACATTCCTTATTACAGAACAAGATGAGGATAACAAACAAAATCTTGAAGAGGAATTCATTATTCTAGAAAATCAATTAGAAGAGCTTAAGACAGAGAGAATTAAAATTGAAGAAGCAAAAGTAATGAAAATAAAGCTGGAAGCTGAACCCACTTGTGGAAAGGAATTCTTACGGTAATATTAACTTCTCATGATGAACAATTAAATGAAAACATTATGCAAAGTAATAAAATTGGGTATACAGTTAAGTCTTGATTATGAACAAAAAATGTATTAGTTTGATAGTCGAGATTCTAATGAACAACCATGTATATGTCATATTTAGGAATTAGAGAGTTAAAAACCACCATTTGTAACAGATTTAAAAATGTACTTTGTACATCAGATATAGCATGTTGCTTTTAATATGGACCTGTATCTAAATGTTAGGTGGGTTAGTCTTCAGTCTTTAGTATGGGTCACGCAACAATTAAAGACATTGTGCCATAGGTCAGGAAAATATAGTCACATATCTTAATCATACAATAAGGTATCATACAATTCTAGGTACCTTTGAAACGCTTTTAATATAGAGAAATCACTGTTCATAAAAATTATGAAATGTGTAATGACCTGTGACAGACCCATGGGGAGACACATGGCTTAAGGAGGCTCCCCCTCTACGAGAATCTATCCTGAAACAGCCATCAGCTGAGTGACAGTGTATTCAATAATTTTTTTTATGAATATAACAATTAGTTTTTTCTTTAAATATTTAGGATTACCTTCATTGCATAAAAAAAAAATAATAATAAAAAAAAAAACATGACCAATAGAAATGAACCCCTATTAAAACCACAAGTAACAATATTGCTATGGTTTCTATTTATTTGCTTAGTTGTAATTGGTGAGTTCTAACTTCTAACTTTTAACAAGGCAGGTGCCAAAAAATGCTTAAAGAGGCCAGAGACAATTTAAAACGGGCAGAAGAGGAAGAGACATACCTAAAAATGAAAATTACCCAGAAAGAGGTTGTTCTTCTAAGGAATAAGTCGTTGGTAATGGAAGATACAACTGCGGTTTCTCCAGTAATTGAAAATATTTCTAAAGGTAAGATAAAATTAAAATCATAACACCCAAGAAAATCTAAAATACCCCCGCCGCAGCAAACCTGCAGACTAAGCGAATTTCAGCTTGTCTGATTACATTTTTACTAAAATATTTCCATAAATAAGACATATTTATTCACAATTTAAATAACATTAGATTTAACGAGTGCTTAGGTTTGCTGGACTTCGGGGAAGTTGATAAGTGTTTTTTGACCATACGTCAATAGTATAAGATGAAATAAATAAATTTGCCAAATTTTATCAATGAATATTCATAAACAAGTAAACTACAACAGTTTAAATTTTCTCCATAAGAATAACATGGGGATTTAAAAATACAGTATTTTTGAATTTTCTCCGTGACCGCTAGGCATACAACAGCGCTTCAATATACTAAATTAGCTTATTTTTTTTTACTCTACAAAACGTTTTAAAAAGAAATTAAACCTTTTTTTATTTTTAGGGTCGAAAATGGGAAAAACCTATTTTCACCCCATAAACCCCCGTTCCCATGGTCCAACTATGCTAGTTCGCGAACTCGTTCGAATAAACTCAGGTTTACATGTTTGTACCAAATTGATTAAAAATCGGATCAATCATTTTTGCAAGAGTTATCGCGCTAACGGACATATATATATATATTAATAAATAATATATAAAATAACATGAGTACCCTTTTTTTATATTCTTTTTTATTTAATAAAACACAACATGTTTATATATATATATATATGAATTTGAACGGATGGTGTTTTTGGCCTCTAAGGGCCTCAAAACGAAAAATTAAATCGGTTCCGGGTCCAGGTCTTACCATGAGTACTACGGTAATAGCTTATTCCCTATATGTGAAATTCGCTAAAATCATGTTTTTTTACATAAAGTTGGATAAATATTAATGATTTTGGCTTTAATTGTTACATTTCAAATTTGAGTAGTAAAACCATATAGCCCCCTCTAATACAAGGCATTGGAGTTTGCGGAATTCTACCCCCACATATTTGGACGTCACGAGGGGCAGGGCCTTTACACGGTCGAGAAACAGCCTGTGACTGGGAATTTACCCCCAATTTATTATACATATAATCAAAATGTAATTGTTTGCTTATAAAGTGATTTGCTATACCACGGAATCTTACCCCTGGAAATCTACCCCCAGTGGTCAAATCAGAAATTTCCAAACCCTGAAATTCTACCCCCTTTGGTCATATGAGAAAAGTCCGATACCGGAATTCTACCCCCCGTGGTTGGCTACGCTATGTATTGGCCAAGATTCATTGTTGTAGTTGATTTTATTAACACCTTCGCTGCAGGAAGGTCAGTACTAACCCACACTGCAGTGCATCAATCAGTTGCTCAGTGTGAGCCTAGTGTTGGTTGAAGGTGGAGTTGTGGGGTGTGAGACTTGCTTTGTTCACCGTTCAGTTGGTTTCCGCGTCACGCTCCCGCCGAGGCGGCTGAGTCGGTACTGCTAGTTTGCAGGTTACTGTGAACGCCCCTCGATGTGCTACTTCTGTGTGCTTGACGTCACATTCAATTTCAATCAACTTTTAAACTATTTTATTTCAATAATATTAACATTTAAAATCTTTTTTATCTTTCATCTTTGTTAAATATTTCCATTTTTTCTGACTCTGGTTCTTGATGGCTCAGCACTGACCTATGAATATATCGTCATGTCATGAAGTCATATTCAATTCCTATCAATCTATATACTATTTTTTGTTTATTATTTTTTATTTTATAATAATGACTACCTTTAGAATACCTTTAGATATACCTTTAGAAGATATATTTTTAGTGATATATAATGTATTCAGTGACATTTCCATTTTAATCTGACTGGCTCCTGATGGGTCAGTACTGAACTGACCTATGAATATGACATCACTTTATGACGTCATATTCACTTCTGATCGTTTGATATAATATTGTATTTCAATAAGGACACAAAAAAAACGTTATAGAGCAATAACATTTTTTAACAATACAATTCGATTTTTTAATCTCCTTTAGCAGTGAAGGTGTTAGTTGGTTTATGTAAATCAACGATTCTTCGGTTAATCATTACCTTCTAATATCCATTGTTAGGTTAGGTTAGGTTTTCAATTAATAAAATCAACAATGAATCTTGGCCGATACATAGCGTATCCAAGCATAGATTTCCGGGGTAGAATTCTGGGGTTGGACATTTCTAATTTGACCACCAAGGGTAGATTTCTGGGGGTAAAATTCTGGTGTCAGGTTTATTGAGATTTTGATTAATACAACTGTTAAGTAAACCATGAAATGTGAGTTGATTGAAATAAATAATAATTTATCCGTCCTAAAAGTTTGCGGCTGGAAATTTACCCCCAGACCCGTGAAGTCAAAATGACGCGTAGGTGTTTTCTCATGGGAGTAAATTTCCGTGGGCAGAATTCCGGCGACCCCGGCGTTGGTGTGAGGGATGCCAGGTAATAACAGGAACAACAAATTTTTGAACCTAAACATTGTGTGTACTCTCCATTATAGATTAGTGCAACAGCTGTTTCAGTATGCCGAACTGCAGCGTTTTCACTTTCGTCTCGCCGCGGCCTTGTATTTGAGGAGGCTATGGTAAAACACATGTCAACTCAAAATAAATACATTCTCCATCCTCATTTTTTAATTGTCATTATTTATTGAAAAATACTACTTATAATAAAAACATCTATTAACATATATTAATATTTAATATTATTAATAATGAGAAAGAAAGTATTGGTAGTTACATTAATTGTTCTTTACTTAATTACAGAATTAGGGATAGATTGAGTTGAAGATGCTTGGATAAATCTTTTGATGAGACAAATTTTTCTTGATGTGAAAAAGGAAGATGATTTATCTTTTAAATAGGATTGAAAATGGGTTTTAAACATTGAGTAAACTAACTAAAACTAATTTTCTTTTTGATTAAGTTAAAGAAAGCATTTAGGGAAGATGGTTAGTGATAAAGCATATTCCAACCTTCAAAAGGCTATTAACAAGATGTGCAACTCGCTCAATTCTGCCTTGAATCAAGAATCCCTGGGACACTGGCTGTTTGATTCAGGGAAAAAGCATGTCAAGTGGAAGTTTAGCAACACTATTTTAAAATTTAAAATATGCTAGTAGGGGTAAAAATCATCCAAAGTAAAATACTAGTTTTCCTTTGTAAGAGGTGATTAATCATTCAGAAATAGGAGAAAAATTGGGCAATGCATGTCTCCAAAGTCAAAACCTGTCTATAAACATAATGGCTCTGTCAATTGTTTGTTAACATAGCATGAGGGGGAGTCACACACTTTTAAAATTTCATTAAATAAGGAAAACTAAGGAGACTCATATTGAGAGGAGATAGTTTTGACAAGCCAGACCACAGAGACTGTGATATAGTGTAATTCTTTGTCTTTTTCAGTACATATGAAATTTTTGTTTATCAGGGATCATAAATGCACATTGGAATTCAGGCTACTAATATTGTTTACAGATACAGACATGACTTTACCTTTACCCAGACAAGAAACTACAAAAAGTACAAGTCTACTAGAACGCCCATCTGTTTCTAAGACTGTCACATTTAATAACACAGTCGAAACAAAACCAATTTCACCACCACTGCAGTATAAGGTACTTTTTTTAATTATTATTATTCTTTTGTCGAAGGAGCCGAAACTCCCCGACGACTACCTGGTAAATGTTTGCACTTAACCCGGGACCCATAGTGTCGGTCCTTGGACACACCATGGGTGGATGACTTAAGGTCATCAAGCTCACCGGCTGCCAAAGCAACCCTTCGGAAAGAGGGTTGCCCCTCAATCCTAACCAGGGATACCAGCTACTTATTCGCACGTACACTCCAAATGGTTTCCACCTGGGCCAAAACCCCGAGGGACCATAATGAAGTGCCCTGAACGCAACACAATGCAAGCAACACTCGGGGCCTACCTAATCCCTGACAGGCCGAAACCCGCCATCAAAGCCAGGGAGAAGGGGACCGCCAGCAAGCTGACGGGGGAACCCCAACCACCTATTTGCACCACTACCCGATCGAGGCAAACCCATTCACTGGGAAACCAGGGCGATAGATCCCTAGATACCCCCAGCGGGCTTGATCCCAGCACCCGATCTACTTCGTTTGCCTATCTAGCCCTACATCACTGCCAGGCCATCAGGGTTTCCCAAAAGGAGGCAGGTATAGAAGTGGGACCCACCCAGATGAACCTATCCACCAAAGGTGGCGACACCCTTAACTCAATTGAGGTTCCAGGGAGTACCCCCCACACTCTAGATAACCATATCTTCCGGGCTCATAGACAGGGATAGGCTGATGGAGTGTGCCCAGCCGTTACCCTCACACTGCGGAAAGTTCCGTTCCCCTAGAGTGTCCCCGTGAGCTTACGGGTACTCGCCCGATTTCACCTCCCAGGAAAAGGCTGCTTCCAAAGTCGAGGATTTGTCGATCACAAAATGCTGGTCGCACACAACAAGTGGGCCGAAACCCATAGAACCACAGTCACAGGTAGATGGGAGATTGATGGCACACTTCCACCTCTCCGAGAGCTAAACACCCACCATCCTGGATGGAGGAATGTAACTGGGTGCTCCCCTTAAGGGGCTGGCCTTCCTAGTCGTCCATAACTATGGCCAACTTGAAATGCCGATACCAACACCGAGCAGTTACCTCAGTACCAACTCACTTCTCAACTGTTGGATTTCAAAAATACCAAATCCTGTTGTCGGTTGAGTTGAGTGTTGTGATTGACTCAACTGTCAACCATTTCAAAAATAGGTCCCCAGTACAGCCTGCCTGGTGACTTGTGATGACCTAATCAGTCACTTAGGGGCGGTTTGGGAGCTCGGTATTAGCGCTAGTCCGCGACTAAATCCGGATATTTCCGGTATTTTAGGCTGCCGCCTCGAAAACGGGTTTGTGAGCTCGGGATCAGTAAGGCGCGCGCCTAACTTGTGCAGGGATAATCTCGCGCCTAAATATTGTTGGTTTGGGAGTCAAGTAGACTTAGGCGCCAGCCTAAGAGATAGTCTCGGTGGGTTTGGGAGACCAATTTCGGGACTAAGAGATATGTTTTCGTCATAAAAATCAGGGAGTTTAGTCCCCAACTTTAGTCCTGCCAGGGGGCAGGTCTAAGTCGACATCATGCCGGTATTAGCTCATTAGCAAGTTAATTGTTTACATATTAACTAAAATAATGTTATATTGGAATTCGTTATTAAATTCCGAACATTTTCATTACTCTCAAAGTATATTTGATAAAACTTTTTTAAGTTTTCTTTTGTTCAAAATAAAACAAAAATCTTGCAGAAAGCTAAATTTAACAAAAGATTATTTGGTTTTTGTTTTTACTGTTAACTGCAATACACATATGGACCCTAAATAGAATTTCTTTTAACTGAGAGTTTGGCTATAAGCACCCGTACCTTAATTATCAATATTTTATTAGTAAGGAAATAATTAGCAACCACATGCATTACCCCCACTCACCCCCTACGAAAGAGTGAAGAGGTAGTAAACAAAACATAAAAAACTGCAAATAGCTCACAGTCATAATCGTTATCTTTTAATTGCGTTGTGATAGAGCTCAGTTCAGTGTCGTTGACCAAGTGCTAGTTACATCAAAATGGAGTACCTAGATTATTTGAAGTATAAGAAAATATATACAGTATATCAATAACCCGCCACAGAAAACCTGCAGACTAAGCGAATTTCCAAATAACCTAATAGAGTTTTCAATTAAATTTATTTAAATAACTTTAGGTTTAACAAGCACCTGAAACTACCTATGATGTAGGTATGCTGTTACAGGGAGGGTAATAAAGTGTGTTTTTTAACAAAATATTAACAGCTTTATAAAAAATAAATAAATTTTCCAAGTTTCATAAAAATATATCCATAAACGACCACACTAGAACAGTTAACTTATTCTCCATGAGAATCACATGAGAATTTAAAATTTACAATTTTAACAATAGTCTCTGTAGCCAATAACCGTACAAAACATTTTAAGATGTTAATTTGTTTTTTATACTCTTTAAAATACTCTTTACTCTTTAACTTACCTAAATACTTTAAATTAATCTTTAAATAACTTTTTAAAATATTTTAAAGACAAAGATTTATGTTATAGGGGTTAAAATTGAGAAAAAAACTATTTTTATCCTATACAACTCCGGGTTCCCTTAGTCTGATCATGCTGGTTCGAGAACTCATTAAGGAGAATCGCGCCTAACACTTTCATGCCAAATTTTATCAAAATCAGACAAAAATTACTCAAGTTATCACGTTTATGGACGTATATATAATACATTTATATATAGGCTATACATATATAAAATTTTGAACGAACAGTGTTTTTGGCCTCTAGGGACATCAAAATGGAAAAGTTTATCGGTCCCGGAACTAAGTGCTACCCACGGTAATAGATACTTCCCTAGGAAAATTAGATAAAAGAGTGTCATGTAAAAAAAGATTTTAAGTTGACAACAATTTATTCTAATTACTGTATTAAAAGACTTTTTTACATTTACCTTGGCTTCACACAATCATAACCTCCGCATTTACTTTTTTTTGTCAATACTCCTATATTATACTGGTAAATTACTGTTTAATTTTGAAGCTTTTTATTGCATGAAACCGAGTTTCCGATGATAATCCTATGTTGCTCTGTACGTATTTATAAGGTGTAGTACTTAAAAGACAACTAGTAGTACTTAAGGACAACTGATTAAATAATTATAAATCGTAAAGTGAAAATAAAGTTAGATCTTAAAATAATTTAATATAAACAATTACGGTTTTTCAGTCATTGGGATGTAAAACAACGATCTTACAAAACTACATTTTTGCAATGGTACAATGCAGAAACATACACCATAGTCTACTAATTAGCCACCATTGATATACCAAGATAAAATTGTATCCATCTTCAATAAGTGTTCATCTTTTGTTGTTGTCAACGGTAACGGGTTCTGCAATGGCCGTTGCCAACGTCAAAACCTGAATTCCCCGCGATTCCCTGTCCATCTAGCCGCGCTGCAACTTAGGCGCGACTATACTTGATCTACGACCATTTCAACTTAGGCGCGAGCTCCCAAGCCTGGTTTCTGGTCCGGGGACTAAAGTTAGGCGCGTACTAGCTAGGCTCGAGCTCCCAAACCGCCCTTAAAGTCCTGTAGTAGATATTCCCTCTCAGCCCACTCCCAATGGGCATTGGTATAGGTACTGGATGAGCAGAGTCTTCTACCTAGACTTAACTTTTCCCAAGTAGATCCTACAAATATGTTATAGGCTATATTTAGGAAAGTTCTTTACTAAGTATTTGGACAAATTAAACATTTGAAGAAATCTGCCGTATTAATATAAGTTTTTAGCAGCAAAATTATTATCTTGCACTTATTTATTTAAGGCAAAATATATTTTTCAGACAAGCCTGAAGTCAAAGAGCCGAATTAAATCACCTAGTGCTGCTTTAAGGAACAAACTTACTCAACAGCTAACATCACAGCTTGATGAAACAATGAGAGCCATTCTTTTTAAAGATGAAACCAAATAACAGAAAGTGCATTGCAGCTCGGTTTCAAATCATATTTGGCGTGATATTCTTGAAAGAACTTAAACATTTAGTATTGTTATCTTGTGGTTTATCATACCTCTGCTTTAAGTTTTTAATTTTAATTAATTTAAATAATTGAATAAATAATTATTTTTAAGTTTTTAATTTTCAACATCAGGCTAAGCTGTAAAGTTTTTGTTGCCAGCACATTTTCAAAGCTTGCCTTTTGTTAATCCTACAAAGTTTGATATTTCTACAAACAACGGCTAGTTTAATGTTGACAATTTTGACTACAAATGGATAACATGGATGTAACCTTATTTGATCATACTGGAAGGCTAGCAAATTATTGTTTAGTACAATTTTTTTTGTTAACATTAAGTGATTTATTACCTCTGCTGGCACTGTGTGCAGTAATAGCAGCATATAGGCAGTTATAATATTGGTATTACAATCTAAGTAAGTGTCAGATCCTTTTAGGTACAAACCTAAAGTGAGGTTCAGCCAAATCATGAATCATGATTGTTTACCTTTTAGAAAAGCCAAGTAGGCCTACATTGTATGGACCTATTCATAACTGTATAACCGTATTCCTAAGAGTGTATTTTGCTTAGCAAACCATTACGTGTATTAGTAAGAAATAACTGAAATAAAACTGGTAATTATTAATATGCACGTGATAATTTTTCTGGTAGTATAGTTGGATAATAGCATTAACTTTTGGATGTCAAAGGTAATAGGGAAACAAGAAAACTTATAGCATGTAAAATAACAAATTATATTAATAGTTAATACTACAGTATATGATTGAGGACTAGACATCATTTAGGCTACTCATTAGATTGTGTAGATTTGCTCAGGTCAGGCTCTGTCTGTTGTTGTTTCTTGTACATTTCCATCAGTATTTCAGTGGCAGAAGGAGACTGTCTCTCAGCTATAGTCAATGTATCCTATAACACAACAATGAGACCAATTAATACAAGTATTGTAGTTTTATAGTTATCATTAATTTAAATACATTAGGCTATTTGTTTGGTTACTTTTTGTTCTTTTAACATACATTTATTTACTAGGTTTAGATGAAACATCCACATGATGAACTTTTTCAAGAAATAACTGCTAGGTGAAAGTGTTCTGTTAATTAATGTTTCTTACTTAAGCATAGTAACCAAATACTTTTCAACCAAATAATACCAAGAATACAAGACAATCCTACGTAATCAACCCAAATAGAGCTGGGAATAGAGAATTAGGTATAATAAATCCCAGTTTTTAATAGACCAACTCACTTATGAGAACAGGACTACCTTGTATTATTTCTTGGTGAAAGTTATAAACAGCCTAACTAAACAAGTTGAAGTTTGAAGTTTCCTCATACAGCAGAACCATTTAAAACACAGGTTACGATTTGGACGCCTTAATCCTGACCAAGACAAACTAGAAATGGTACTTTGGTATTATACGGAGGCCACATATATTACAGCGTGCTGCTGCAGTTATACCCGCAACCGCCAACCGCTGATAGTTAGGTTGGGTTATCATAAATGTTTGTAGGAATTTCCTCGTTTCGTTATGATTCGAACGATACCAGATGAGACATACTTTCTACTTATGATAACCCAACCTAACATAACCGCCACAGTGTGCTGTATAAGGGTGGCCTTCGTATAATACCAAAGTACCCTAGAAATATCACATAGGCCCTATTTATTAATCTGTATATGACTGATTCAATTCCCAACATGTGTCTCAACGCTTTCCCTGAAAAATTTCAATGATTCTTGCTTATAAAATACTATTGGCATTTACAAAATACCCTTATTGCAGAAAAACTGCAGTCCACGCAATATGGTCTTAACTACTATTTAAGTTTTGTTTGAAATTTTTAGGCTATTTGTAAAATGAATTAACGCTGAAAGTGAGATCTTTTTGGCAGTCGTGAAAATAGTATTATTGGGTGTCTCAGCCCCCTGAATGGGCGCACGGCTCACAAAATTCTTGAGACGGCTCTGTCCAAGCGAAACATGAAGTGATACCGATTCACTAAGGAAACATTTCTTTCAGAATGCATTCCTTTTTGTCAATATATATAGTTAAGTGACTTCTTTTATTTTATCAACATGCAAATAAAACGATTAATTGAAAAATGCTTTTTGAAAAGGTTGATACTATTGTAGTTGAAATAGAAAACCAAAAGCAAAATACAGTTTATAAAAAACTAGGTGAAACCCGTCAAAATCGACGGTTACTTTCAATGATTACGTTAATTTATCAAACTGCGATAAATTGGGTGAAATATACATATTTTGAGCATTTAGCATTGTTTAAAGAGTAATAAGTGTAAAAAACAATAATGATATTAATTGTGTTAGTTTTGGCCAAATTTGGTTGATCATTCAATGAATAAAATATTCCCCATACAGTACCGTCATCAAAGTTATTATTAGTATGTTATATGGTATCTCTTCCTTTGGAAGAACCTTTAAATACAAAATAGTATTGGTGGATCTTTTGTAGTTAAACACTTCCGTTATTTCATCAGTGTAATATAATTTTATTTCAAAAGAAAATATCTTTTGGGATGACATATTCTAACTTCAAAGGGAGGTATATCCGTTACAGTGTAAGTTTTATTTTTCCTTCGTCACGTCGCGTCAGTTCATACCGTACTTCTGTGCCAATGAATGAACCCTCTAGCATAGTTTTGAGAAATTGATTGTGGGGTTACTGTTAAAGCTGGAATTCCTTGGACGTCAGTTAGTTGCATCGATATATAACTACTATCTAACAAAAAACCACTAAGTGGTAACACTTCCCCCGCCAAGTCAGCAACCCAAAAAAGACAATAAATCACCACTTTTCCGCCAAGTAAAACAATGTAATGTATGTAAGTTTGGCAACTTGGCGACAGACTTTTGCTTGTTTTTTTTTTTTCATTAAAGTTACGTTGGTGGATAATTTCACAAATCAACTTCTCTAATTAATTAGTCCAACTAAGTATAATAATTTCGAGGTAATCAGTAAATATAAAACCATCACTATTATGATTTTATGAAATGTGACACAAATAAGGTCAAATTTTGTAAAATAAGCTCTCATCTAGCAATGTACTATTGGGAGAGATACTTGCTCAATGAAACTAATTTTATGGTATTTTTTAAAGTGATCAAGCAAAAGTCTGCCGCCAAGTGGCCAAACTTACATAAATTACATTGTTTTACTTGGCGGAAAAGTGGTGATTTATTGTCTTTTTTGGGTTGCTGACTTGGCAGGGGAAGTGTTACCACTTAGTGGGTTTTTGTTAGATTGTATTTATTTTTGTAGAAAATTAACAGTTAAAATAAAAATCATCTTTTCTCTTATATATAGACCAGGGCACAACTACACATAAAATGCATTGGTGTTACATAAGTCTTCCGATAATTAAACCCGTATATCTAAAGACTAGTGTAAATTGAGCCCTTATTAGAGAAGTAAAAATGTAATCAAACAGATTAGGTTTGTTAGAAATAGCATAAGGCAAAACAAATATTGAAAAACTCATTTTTATCCTAAATTTACATATCACTTTTTACATTCACTTTTTTGCTTGTTTAACATACGTAGACGGATTTTCCCGATTGTTTTATTTGTTTTAGTGTATCAAAACATAAAACTAACCTTATTTAGTTAAATAAATTTTGGCAATATTATGAAGAAACAATGTTAAAACTAACCTTAGTACTAGTACTAAGTTTCGAGTTCCTAGGTTTCATATGTTTTGATAAGTAGTATTAAACTGTTAAAAATGACGAGCTGCTGTACCAGTGTACCATCGGTACACTGCATTTTTCAATGGAATGTATCGGGGAATATCACTGCTCTAAGTAATTTTATATAGTACTAGCTGGCCCGACAGACGTCGTCCTGTCCTATTGTGGTTTTATGTCACATGCTCGTTCATTTTCAAGATGAGCTCGTTTGCATGGCTCAATCATGTCCTGGTTGAAGTTCGTTCGCTACGCTCACTCACCTTTAGGTTAGGGCTCGTTCGCTGCGCTCACTTGCCTTCAGGTTAGCTCGTTCGCTACGCTAACTCGCCTCCAGGTTGAAGTTCGTTCGCTATGCTCACTCACCTTTTGGTTGCAAATTAGCTGTTCTCATAAATTAAAAATAAATATAGTGCTGCACCCTGTTGGTAAACCTATTAACTTTTTAATGCTATTGAACATCACTGGATCAAATTGTTTAGTTGCACCAGCTGTTAAGATTCTTTAATTCCTTTTAAATTGAGTACTCATAAGGTTAACATGGGAAACTCCAGAGCCACTGGGGCGGAGCCCTATTGACGGATCTGCACCAAACTTCACACAAACCATCCTTGAATAATGCTTTATAATGCCTGAAAGTTTCATTACAATCTGTCGAGCGGTTTTGGAGTCCATAAAGGACAAACATACAAATATACAAACATACAAACATACATTGGATTTTATATATATAGAAGTAGCTCAAATCATTCGGTATACCTGAAAAAAATACTTTATAAAAGTTTTAAAATAATTTTTCAGCTGATCCTATGAATTTCTCTAACATTTTAAATTAATTGAGATTTAATCGCAGCTGATCCTTCTTTTGTTTTAATTTTAATCCCATGTTATTTAAATGGGCCAAAATCGTACTTTGAGGGCTTGCCAAGGGTTTATGGGTAAACGCACCGACTTGTGACCCTCAAAAGGCACATCTACACGCTAAGGGCTTTCAAACAACATAAAAAACATTAAAATTGAGCCAGTGGTTTGGGCTGTAGGCCCGTCAACATTTAAGGAGAAGAAGGAGAACACGGAAAATTTGTGAAATTTCAAACTAGTTTTTCTTGGCTCAAACACAACCTTTTTTTAAATTCTTTTTTTTATTTTGCCAAGAATGATTGCCCCTATCCAGTGGATGAACAATTATTTTAATAGCTTTTGTTTCTTCAGAGCTATAGACGAGTAAAAAAGCCACTTTGTCACGTCATGTATATATACACTGCAGCAGCTGTGTACCGCTGGGGGACTTGGCGGGGCGGAGTAGTAGTTATATATCGATGGTTAGTTGTCTCAGCCTTATCAATAACATAACGTTGTCAATATGATCTCTCTACGGAATGTTAGGTGTAGTGGAATACTTGAAGTGAAGTTGGCTTTTATTCTTGAACTGTTAGGGGCCTCCTAGTTCATACGGTCTTGCAGCTTCATTGTCAACAAATAATGCAAAAATGACATGGCGATGGGACATTTCCAAAAAGCAAAAAATTGTTGATTGGCTGTTAAGTATATATTGACGTTTACATATTGTTAATCAACGTATCTAGGATTATGTGATCTAGTTTAAAAGGAATATGATATTTCTGTCATGACAGGAGCTGCTTAAATAGTATTTTCTCTTTGTACCACATTTTACAGCCAAAATGTCGTGTAATTTCCAAAAGTTCGTCATATAGGCAGGTGCAAACAATTTGTCAAGATAGGTACCATTTTAGGCAAGGTTTCTATGTTTTGGGGATTTCATTAGACACGATAAGAGCAAACATTTCTACATGAATATTTGATATGTGTAGAATAATATGATAAAATGTAGGCAAAAGTGGTGAAACAGGCAGACACCAACCCGTACAATAGATATAAGATAGTTCAATAAGAAATCATTTAAGAATTTGCTGTGATAAAAGGATTTTCCACTGATTTCGTAATGAAACATTATATTGCAAAACATGACCTGATAAAGAAGAAAATCAATTTACTTATTTGGTAGAATAAGAATTCAGTAACTCCCAATAAATATGTGTTGTTTCAAATAAATTTAAAAATGATCAGCTGTTTCATTAAAAAGTATTATTCACATGGCCAAAATGTAAACAACTCTGTAGAGGGATCTTTAAAGGCCTCTGGGGCAGAGTCCTAAGGGATTTTGCTTAGTTTTTCTTTTGATAACTCATCTACAGACCAAGACCTTTCCTTGGACACCTCTACCAAGTTTCTACGCCCAGCCGTTCTCTCAAATTAGTGGGGACAAAGTTTCCAATTAAATATTTAGATTCCCCCATGTTAATCTTATGGGATAAATTCCAACTTTGACGGCCTGTGGGGCAAAGCCCGAGGATTTTTATGACATGAATTGGTGAAAGGGGGCGTCTACACAAAAAATACTTTGTTTTGACACGTTGTTTGTAAAAATCCGTTCATTATTAACGGAGGAGTAGTGTTTTGTAGAAATCGCCTTCACGTATTATATATAAGGATTTAATTGTTGTCACTTTGATGTAAAACATTGACCCTTTTAAAAATAAGGTGATTTTTGTATCCACACTAAATTAGATTTTGTTATTGCACATAATTTAACTTACGAGAGGGAAGGTAGCCAAGTTTAAAGCTGGGTCTCTGTGGGTGAACGGACTCCAGACTCCTTGTACAGAGGGATGGTCAGAGTGTGAATAGCTCAGATACCTCATGTCTTGATAGCCTGACTTGGTCTTCATCCAATTCAACCACTGTGATATTTCCTCTTTTGAAAGGTTGTTACAGCCAATGTACTCTTCACCCCCATTCACTACAAATAATTCATCATTAGATGTTGGGTTTTAATAGATTTTTATTGTTTGATAAACACATAGATACATTTTTAGGGAACTAATACTTTTATACTACTATACTTTTATACTCTTATACTAATACTTTAATACTACTTTTAGGGAACTATAAGCACTTCTTTAATTTCATTTTGTGTTGATCGATAGTTACAAAAATACAAAAAACAAATAAATCCGACAAACTTCGGGAATTACGATCTAGAGTGACACACAAGGGGCGATTCAATATTTTCATTTGTTAACAAACAAGGAGTCCACCAGATGAATAGATGATCAAACTAAATGTCAGTGCCTGGGGGGGGGGGGGGGGGGCTGACTCATATCCTACCCTTGCAGGCTACAAGTCTCTAAAAATACTACCCAGTAACTCTGGTTTACATAAGTTCGACAGCCTACCAGCAAGCCTTAAAATGCTTGCAGAAAAACTTTTCCAGCAGAGTATCAAGTCTTGATTGTTGGACAACCCATGCTATTTTGTGAAGAAGTTTGATAACAAAAAAGTTCCATTAACTACGCCGAACAACATCTAACAAAACAAATGCCGATATTAAAAACCCCCAAACAATCAGAACACTGGATATTGTTAAGCAACACGATTACACTCTATTTCGTTTCCAGTTATTTAAAGGGTTTATCTAAATATATTTGAAGTTATATTTTGTATTCTTGTCGATCACGCCCGTTCAAGGCAGAACTCTGCTTGCACGAATAAGCGTGGATTCTGTCATACACGAGGGTTTGGTGGTTACCAAGCACTGTAAACGTTTTATTATTCCATTTTATGTTATAGACACCACCTAAGGCAAATTGATTACTTTTATTTTAATACGTGAGCAAACTCCAAATTCGAGCAAAAGTTAGTTACGAGTTACGACAACTCTGGCGATGGACTGAGTTTTTAGTAGGATGTTTTACTTTGGTGTTTAGACATTTATTACAATACTAGCTGTACCCATGGGCTTTGCCCCGTTTAACTTCATAAGTATTCACATGGCTCAATCACGTCCCGAAGTTTGTTCGCTACGCTCACTCACCTTTAGGTTGGAGCTCGTTCGCTGCGCTCACTTGTTTTCAGGTTAGCTCGTTCGCTACGCTAACTTGCCTCCAGGTTGATGTTCGTTCGCTACGCTCACTCACCTTTTGGTTGCAAATTAGCTGTTGTCATAAATTTTAAAAAGTCATCCCTTTTATTGTTTATAATACTTTGATAAAGGTTTTTATGTTTTAATACTTAACATTGGAGAATTTAAACGTTGTTAAGTGCACAGGTGTGCTGCGATTGGGGTTTAATACATTTGGACTTATTCAAAAGTAAAATAGTTTTCTGTGCTGCACTCTGTAGAAACACTGTGGCACTATTTCAAATCATGACTAATGCTAATACAGAATGTTGTAATTATTCAAACCAACAAAACAGTTGGTGAAAGTAAACATCTGCGTTTAAATTATATTTATTTGTAAACATTGTAGATCAAAAAGTCTGACGTTGGCCCACTTAAAACCCTCTGGGGCAGAGCCCTTTTGACAGATCTGCACCAAACTTCACTCGAACCATCCTTGAAAGATGCTTAATAATGCCTGAAAGTTTCATTACAATCTGTCAAGCGGTTTCGGAGTCCATAACGTATATACATATATATATATATACACACACACATACATAGTTCCTCTTTTATAGATATAGATTAATACGTAATTAAAATATATTTAATTACGACAAACAATTCTCGTAAAATAATTCTGTTATATTCGTATTTGTGCGCTATTTTGTTCAAAATTAGGCTTTATTTTAAGTGGCTGTGATGCACTTTCTGAAAAGTTAATAGTTTTACGGTACATCATTGCAATTATCATTCTGAGCCAATGAACTTTAAATGATAATTTGTTTACAAACTTGTTAGAATTCTGGACTATCTCATTGTAGGCTAGGTAATCTGAACAAATTTTACAAAAACTACGATAATATAATATTGTCCCCACATAAAATACCGTATTTTGTTGCATTTCATAACAAGCCCAACAGGGAAACCCATTTTATTACAATATTGAAATTTATTTTGGTCTCCTACACCAAAATCACATCATATATATAAAAATAAACAAATAGTACTTACAGTATTCAGCCCATAAACAAGGTGTTCGAAACCTTCTCGGTTTTAAGTATACAACAACCCCAGGATTACTTCTTGCAAAATCAATTAAATCTGTTTCAATAAATTCCCTGAAAAATAAATCAGATAACATTACAGCTAGCAATTAGAATCAATAATTCACACCGAGTGTTTACACATTGATTATATTAGGCTATATTAAGAGTCCTTGGAGGCTAGCGGCCATCTTGGATGATTTCAAACAGCTGCTGAAGAGTAAAAAATATTTTTTTAAACACCAAAGTGATTAAAATTTAAATATCTTTTACCTAACCCTCCATGTTAAACTTCCCTATCCCAAGCGTGATGTAGGCCTATATAACTTTGTTACTTCTCGAGTGATGTAAAGTTGAAAAAAACTCACTCGGTGATGTAATGAAACCCATTTAAATAACATTGAGTGCTTAACTTAAAAAATATACCTCTATGGAGCCAACGACGTTCAACGCTAGAAATCAGCTGTGTGCTTGAATTTTATTGTTATGTTTTGAAGAATTTTCCTAACCTAGCTTTTGTTTGTAAATGAACGTTACTGTTAGAAGATGAGTGAAATGGGTACGTTACACGTTACGCAAGAGTGTGTTTACATCACTTCGGTAAATTATGCAACTCGCTTCGGCTCGTTGCACAACATTCACCTGCGTGATGTAAAAACGCTCTTACTACACTTGTAAGGTAAATAGCTATTATAGGTACTATGAGGTAAACAATTGTCTTTGTTGTTTTGAATTGTTTTTCAATGGAGTCCATGGATGCCAACGGCCATCTTGGATTTGCCTGCCATAAGAGCAATGTTAATTTAGTTATTTTTAAACAGCCGCTTAAGAGTTATTTCTCATTTCAAAATATTTGTTTCAAATACCAAAGTGATTGTAATTTAATTACCTAGTATACTGGGATTAAAATTTTTCTTTGTTTTTTTAACATTGTTTTATGATTATGAGTTAGAACGTCTAGGCTCAAAAGACTCTTGAGTGTATACAGTGGCGTAGCAAGGAGGCCAGCTCAGCCTTAAACTATATTTATTGTTACCAAACCTGAAATTTATCATTCAAGTGAGCTGTCAGGTGGACGTAAATCAGTGGAATTTTTCGCCTTTTAATATAATTGCACCGTCACGGAGCTAAGAAATTATTTTTGACATAATAGCAAACACACCTTTAACTTTAACAAATTAATACAAATTTAATGCACACTATTTTTAAGCAAGAACATTTTGTCTTGATGTTACAAAGATAAATATTAAGAAGAGTGTGTTCTGAAAGGAGAAAAGTGTAAATGAAACTTCTGATCAACTAGGCCTATAACAATTTTACCTTTAGTTATGTGTCAGTCTAACAACCGTCCAAGATACACAAGTAAGCCTCCTGCGTTCGCAACACACACCCGCCGCACCGCGACTGTAAACAGTGCGGTGTGACAAACGGTACAGTGACTCTCGTGTACATAAGCTTTGTATATACAGTTGAACCTCGTTTGTACGAACCTCGATAAAACGAATTCCTCGATGAGACGAATTTTTTTAAATCCCCTTGACACTTTCATATAGGTCAATGCTAAAAACACCTCTATACAACGTAGTAATTAGGTTAAAAACCTCCATAAGACGAATTTGTTTGTGACATAGGCTAGGACTGATTAACCTCTATACAACGAATATTCTTAGCACAAAACCTCTACAAGACGAACGTGACCTCTATAAGACGAATTTATCATAATCTTAACCTCCATAGTACGTAGTTTTCAAAACAAACAGAAGCTTGTCTCAACATGAAACACCCACTCATCCCTCCTCTTTCCTCAGTCATTGTTTGGAGAAACCTTGGAGCGAGGAGAAACCTCTATAAGAAGAATAACAGCAGCATTAAACCTCGATAAAACGACCCTCTTTATTAAGAATACCTCTATAGTACGATTTTTTCCCGTACCCCTTGAAATTCGTCTTATAGAGGTTCAACTGTATTAGGATAAGCATAGCATAGTGACCTCTGAAGATGCCACAACCTGTGGTGAAAAGCGCATCAGGAAATGAAATCGTCAAGAATTCAAGGCAACACAAACAAAATAATTTTACCTTAGTAAAACTCCATAAAGCTGGGTGTACACAATGCTAGTTGGTGAGACAGATGTCTTCGCTAATTGTCATCACTTGATTGCAGGATTGATGGAGGTCAGTTGTCTTGTTTGTTGTCCTCAGTTTACTCCCGGAGACAACTGAATTTCAGGGCAATTGTGGGGGCAGTTGGCAAGGCAATTTTCCAATCAACAAAAAGCCAATAATTTCATGCCAGTCAGTTGTATTCTGACAATTGTCTCACCTACTTGCATCGTATAAACCCGACTTTAATTGGCTCATAATGTGGGTTTGCAGTAGGCTAATTTTACCCTGTAAATTTAAACAAAAAATATCACTATTTCACTACAAGTTGGCTATTGGTACCAGCTCGTTGCCTACTAAAAATAAAGCCTAAGAATAGAACATTTCCAATGTTTTAATGGGGTTACGGGTTTTATATTCTTTACATAGGCCTATTTCTGTATGAGCAATACTTCTTACATGTAATGAAGAGTGTACTTTAAGTGCTTGTACAATATAATTAAAACGCCACAATGCACTGGGAAAAGAGTGGCGTTTGACCCGCTTCATGAAAAGACTCATAACGGAAAATCAATGGTAGGCTACCTTGGTACTATACGGAGGCCACTTATTTTATAGTGCGCTGCGGCGGTTATATAAGGATGGGTTATCATAAATATGTTTGTAGGAATTTCCTAGTTTCGTTATGAATCAAACGATAAGTTGCCAGATGAGTCATAAAAAAGTTTATGTTAAAAACCTAACATTTAACTGCCGCAGCACGCTGTATAAGGGTGGCCTCAGTATAATATGAATTTACCAAGAGTTTTTATCTAATGGCGCAACTAAGTTAAGTTAAATATTGGACTTGTCAAAGCAGTTTCCTAAAATTAATAAGTCAGGTCTTAGCTTACTGCTGTCACTAGGACCGATTAAATTATTTGCTAGCGCCAACGTTACCTATTTGTTTTGTGTTAACTTAATTTAACAAAACTTAAGGTGTTTTCAGTAGTTGTTATTTATTTTGACATTATGTTTTGACAGGTAATAGCTCACTTTGACAATGTTCAGCTTGTATTATAATAAAAATTGTCAGTAGCTAGGCCTATACTTAAAAGATGAAAATTTTTGATTAAGTTAACTTACAAACGGAAAGGTTGCACTTTAGTTTACATCCTAAATTTACTATTAGGCCTTTACATTAAGTTATACATCAACTACCAGCTGATTATAAAATGAAACTGTTCTAAACTAAACCTAACCTTAACCAAACTGCAGTGATTTGCAGTTTGAGTGTCTGGCGGGATCATGGATTTGTGTATACAGCGATGATGACCTCGGCCTTAAAACTGATTTGGTGCCTTCCTTTCTGCGTAGTGTAATATATGCACAGCGCTGTACACACCAGTAATTTAACTTATTGTTTAAGGGCTACAGGTCATTGGAACCTCGGCCTATATAGGCCTAGCATATTTTATACATTGAGGCCTTCCTGTGACAAATAATAATAGTCTAACTTATGGGTACTACTATACCTCATGCCCTGACTACCACCATGCGTTTTACAAAACTTCAATGTTATTCTCTGCAGTTGGCATACATATCTTCCTAACCCATTTCCAAGAGGTGCTCTTGGAAACATGGATTTCATTACCAAACTACTATACGACATTTTCAAAGCAACCTAATCAAACACAACTATTAATTTAATTTGCAAAATTTATTTACACGAGACTAAGGTTCAATACACCGTTATTAAAGTAGAAATTATGTTGTAAACGAATTAAATGGTATAAATTTTATGTAAACTGTAACTTAAACTTAACCTATAAGAGAACAAGATTTAGCTAGCAGCAGTAGAAGTAGAAGAACTGAACTATTATTTTATAAATAAATATTGTTTTTTTTCCTCGCTGTCTTTATACGGCCGTGAAGATAGCTGTCACTAGCTGTCGCCTAGCAGTTGCGGCGGCTCCCCCACTCCTTCACCCTGGCCCCAAGATAGATAGTCTGTTATTTATGAGAATAGACCACGAACCTCACCTTGCTACTGATTGATTGCACCTACTGTTATTACACATTGTACAAGTATACAGGATTGTTCTTATAAAAAAATATGTAAATTTAAAAAGTGAAGGATTTTTAGGAAAAAATGCTGTTAAAAGAACACAAATACAGTGGTTTATTATTTCATTACACTATGACCAACATTCATAATTTTCTTACCTTGGCCCTGTTTGATTGAACAAAATTGGATTACTGATTGTACTAGTATAAATGACTGCTTTTAATAATTAAACATAATAATTGGAATAAAGACTGCTTTTAATAATAAAACATAATAATTGGAATAAAAGTATAAGATGTTGGCGAAAATGGTGTCGAAAACTACCAAAATGGTCAAATAATATTTCACATTCAAGATTTTTTTTCTTACCATGACTCCGATTGATTGCACCAAATTTTATTACTGATTGTACTTGTACAGATGATTGCTTTTAATAATAAAATATAATTATTGGAATAAAAGTGTAGGATGTTGGCGTAAAATGGCACCAAAGTCACGAAAATGGTCAAATAATGTTATACATTTAAGATTTTTTCTTACCACGACCCAGATTGATTGCACCAAATTTTATTACTGATTGTACAAGTATATATGGTTGCTTTTAATAATAAAATATAATAATTGAAATAAAAGTGTAGGATGTTGGCGTAAATAGGCACCAAAGTCACGAAAATGGTCAAATAATGTTATACATTTAAGATTTTTTCTTACCATGACCCCGAATGATTGCACCAAATTTTATTACTGATTATACTAGTATATATGGTTGCTTTTAATAATAAAATATAATAATTGAAATAAAAGTGTAGGATGTTGGCGTAAAATGGCACCAAAGTCACGAAAATGGTCAAATAATGTTATACATTTAAGATTTTTTCTTACCATGACCCAGATTGATTGCACCAAATTTTATTACTGATTGTACAAGTATATATGGCTGCTTTTAATAATAAAATATAATAATTGGAATAAAAGTGTAGGATATGTGCGTAAAATGGCACCAAAACCACGAAAATGGTGAAATAATGTGACACATTCACAAATTATTTTTACCATTACCCCGAATGATTGCACCAAATTTTATTACTGATTGTACTAGTATATATAATTGCTTTTAATAATAAAATATAATATTTAGAATAAAAGTGTAGGATGTTGGCGTAAAATGGCACCAAAGTCACGAAAATGGTCAAATAATGTTATACATTTAAGATTTTTTCTTACCATGACCCAAATTGATTGCACCAAATTTTATTACTGATTACACTAGTATATATGGTTGCTTTTAATAATAAAATATAATAATATAAATAAAAGTGTAGGATGTTGGCGTAAAATGGCACCAAAGTCATGAAAATGGTCAAATAATGTGACACATTTACAAATTATTTTTACCACGACCTTGATTGATTGCACCAAATTTTATTATTGATTGTACAAGTATATATAATTGCTTTTAATAATAAAATATAACAATTGAAATAAAAGTGTAGGATGTTAGCGTAAAATGGCAACATAGTCACGAAAATGGTTAAAAAATGTTATACATTGAAGATTTTTTCTTACCACGACCCAGATTGATTGCACCAAATTTTATTACTGATTGTACAAGTATATAGGGTTGCTTTTAATAATAAAATATAATAATTGAAATAAAAGTGTAGGATGTTGGCGTAAAATGGCACCAAAGTCACGAAAATGGTCAAATAATGTTATACATTTAAGATTTTTTCTTACCATGACCCAGATTGATTGCACCAAATTTTATTACTGATTGTACAAGTATATATGGTTGCTTTTAATAATAAAATATAATAATTGAAATAAAAGTGTAGGATATGTGCGTAAAATGGCACCAAAACCACGAAAATGGTCAAATAATGTGACACATTCACAAATTATTTTTACCATTACCCCGAATGATTGCACCAAATTTTATTACTGATTGTACTAGTATATATGGTTGCTTTTAATAATAAAATATAATATTTGGAATAAAAGTGTAGGATGTTGGCGTAAAATGGCACCAAAGTCACGAAAATGGTCAAATAATGTTATACATTTAAGATTTTTTCTTACCATGACCCAGATTGATTGCACCAAATTTTATTACTGATTGTACAAGTATATATGGTTGCTTTTAATAATAAAATATAATAATTGAAATAAAAGTGTAGGATGTTGGCGTAAAATGGCACCAAAGTCACGAAAATGGTCAAATAATGTTATACATTTAAGATTTTTTCTTACCATGACCCCGAATGATTGCACCAAATTTTATTACTGATTATACTAGTATATATGGTTGCTTTTAATAATAAAATATAATAATTGAAATAAAAGTGTAGGATGTTGGCGTAAAATGGCACCAAAGTCACGAAAATGGTCAAATAATGTTATACATTTAAGATTTTTTCTTACCATGACCCAGATTGATTGCACCAAATTTTATTACTGATTGTACAAGTATATATGGTTGCTTTTAATAATAAAATATAATAATTGGAATAAAAGTGTAGGATATGTGCGTAAAATGGCACCAAAACCACGAAAATGGTCAAATAATGTGACACATTCACAAATTATTTTTACCATTACCCCGAATGATTGCACCAAATTTTATTACTGATTGTACAAGTATATATGGTTGCTTTTAATAATAAAATATAATAATTTGAATAAAAGTGTAGGATGTTGGCGTAAAATGGCACCAGATTCAAGAAAATGGTCAAATAATGTTATACATTTAAGATTTTTTCTTACCATGACCCGGATTTATTGCACCAAATTTTATTACTGATTGTACAAGTATATATGGTTGCTTTTAATAATAAAATATAATAATTGAAATAAAAGTGTAGGATGTTGGCGTAAAATGGCACCAAAGTCACGAAAATGGTCAAATAATGTTATACATTTAAGATTTTTTCTTACCATGACACCACGAATGATTGCACCAAATTTTATTACTGATTATACTAGTATATATAGTTGCTTTTAATAATAAAATATAATAATTTAAATAAAAGTGTAGGATGTTGGCGTAAAATGGCACCAAAGTCACGAAAATGGTCAAATAATGTTATACATTTAAGATTTTTTCTTACCATGACCCCGAATGATTGCACCAAATTTTATTACTGATTATACTAGTATATATGGTTGCTTTTAATAATAAAATATAATAATTGAAATAAAAGTGTAGGATGATGGCGTAAAATGGCACCAAAGTCACGAAAATGGTCAAATAATGTTATACATTTAAGATTTTTTCTTACCATGACCCAGATTGATTGCACCAAATTTTATTACTGATTGTACAAGTATATATGGTTGCTTTTAATAATAAAATATAATAATTGAAATAAAAGTGTAGGATGTTGGCGTAAAATGGCACCAAAGTTACGAAAATGGTCAAATAATGTTATACATTTAAGATTTTTTCTTACCATGACACCACGAATGATTGCACCAAATTTTATTACTGATTATACTAGTATATATAGTTGCTTTTAATAATAAAATATAATAATTTAAATAAAAGTGTAGGATGTTGGCGTAAAATGGCACCAAAGTCACGAAAATGGTCAAATAATGCGACAAATTTACAAATTATTTTTACCACGACCTTGATTGATTGCACCAAATTTTATTATTGATTGTACAAGTATATATGATTGCTTTTAATAATAAAATATAATAATTGAAATAAAAGTGTAGGATGTTGGCGTAAAATGGCACCAAAGTCACGAAAATGGTCAAATAATGTTATACATTTAAGATTTTTTCTTACCATGACCCAGATTGATTGCACCAAATTTTATTACTGATTGTACAAGTATATATTGTTGCTTTTAATAATAAAATATAATAATTGGAATAAAAGTGTAGGATATGTGCGTAAAATGGCACCAAAACCACGAAAATGGTCAAATAATGTGACACATTCACAAATTATTTTTACCATTACCCCGAATGATTGCACCAAATTTTATTACTGATTGTACAAGTATATATGGTTGCTTTTAAAAATAAAATATAATAATTTGAATAAAAGTGTAGGATGTTGGCGTAAAATGGCACCAAAACCACAAAAATGGTCAAATAATGTGACACATTCACACCATGTGAATTCACACCGCGCCTTGGTCACTCTTTTATACTGTATTTCTTTAATTACACTTCTTGGGTTGCTGGTTCTTCTTGGTTTATAGTTTCATATTCTTCAACAGCTTCTATCGCTTCTTCATCAATTGATTCGAAGTTCCTTAACTGTCTCCACATACCAACTTCATGAGGCAATCTATTAAAAAAAGATGTATCCACGTGTCCGTATAATATGGTGCTTTCCGGTTGTTTTTCTAGTGTATCAATTAAATACTCCTTGATGATTGAACTTGAGAATACAAGTTGTTTCATATATCTAGAGATAGGAGACGTTGCATGCATTAAAATGTAGAATTCTTCACGTGAGAGTAAAATTTTACTTTCATGTTGAGTTAAATCTCTAAATCGTACTTGTAGTGTTCCACGATTCTTTACTATGTCAATTTCATTGTCAGAATCCAAAAGTCGAATATTAGTTTTCCTTCCGCAAACATTAGTATTTAAGTAACATTCAATTAGATTTAAATGTTTTAGAAAAGATTCCCATGCCGTTTCAGAAAATATAACCATTTTTGTACCATGCTGCAAGATTACTGTAGGTGTATATTCCGATGATTTCATTAGTCCAGCTGTTACACTTTTACCCAAACATAGTGAGATAGGATA